TTTTTTTTTTTTAATTTAAATTTTATTTTAGAGAGAGCAAGTGAGGGAGAGGAGCAGAGAGAGAGAGAGAGAGAGAGAGAGAGAGAGAGAGAATCCCAAGCAGGCTCTGAACTGTCAGTGCAGAGCCTGATGTGGGGTGTGATCCCACGACCCTGAGATCATGAACTGAGCCAAAATGAAGACTTGGATACCCAACTGACTGAGCCACTCAGGTGCTCCTTGAGCCAATTTTGTAATACATCTTCTCTTGTATAGATCACTATATATCCTACTGGTTCTGTTTCTCTGGCGAGCCCTGACTCGTATAGTATTTAGAGCAAGATGAGGTCACCTATGTGAAGAGGGCGGACACAATAGAGGGTCAAGAGCTGAGCTCTGGAGTGTCCAGCTGTGTGGGAGAAGTGGAGGAGCCCATGAAGCCCCTCGAGGCAGGATGTGAACCAAGGAGGGTCAAACGACACCCCTACCTGCGAACCCTGCTAGGGTTTCTTTGTTCCTTACGTGTCCCTTGTCTCCTGATTCACCATATACTTGGTTTCCCGCTCTGCAGCTTTTCCCCATCTCTCCTGCCAGAATGTGAGGCAGGGACTCCAAGTGCCAAGGACACTGGCTGGAGCTTGATAGGTGCTCACAAGATGTTAATGAATGACTCTTACATAAGGTGTGGTTAATTTGAGTCTCCCTTGGCACAACTATGCCCATGCCTGACCCACTGCCTCGCTGTCTGAGGCTTGTCTGTTTACTCTCTTTATGCGATCTTTCATACAGCAGAAGATTTCACTTTTATTTAATTTTCCTTTTATGGATTATGCTTTTGGTATTGAGTCTAGGATCCCTTGGCCTACCCCTGGGTCCCAAATATTTCTCCTATATATATTTTTCCTAAAAGTGTTCTAGTTTTCTGTGTCATTCTGTGATCCATTTTGGGTTAGTTTTTGTACAAAGTGTAGTGTTTAGGTTGTTTTGTTTTGCTTTGCCTGTAGGCGTCTAATCACTCCTGCACCATCTGTTGGAAAGCCATCCTTGTCCCTGTTGGAATGCTCTTGCCAAAACTCCATCAAGCACATTTGTTTTCCTTCGATTTTCTCTGTTCTGCTTCATTGATCTACGATTCTATCCCCCACCAAGACCATGCTCTGTTGTTACTATATGGGAAACCTTAATTTTGTGTAGAGCAATTCCTCTGACTTTATTCGGCTTTATTCTAGGTTCTGTGTCTTTCCATATCAATTCAAAAATAAGCTTGTCTCTGTCCAGAAAACTTGCTGGGATTTTTTAATAGGAACTGCGTTAAATCCGTAGATCAGTTTGGGGAGAATTAACATCTTTTACCATATTGGATCTTCCAATCCATGAACATGGTATGTCTCTCCATTTATTTGGGTTTTCTTTGATTTCTTTCACCAGTGCGCACACACACACACACACACACACACACACACACACACACGCACACACACATATTCATAGAAAAATCAGGAGGAAATACTCATGACCATTACAGTC